GCCCATTTCAGGGCCATCGCTTTCTCTCTCCTGCCTCTCCCTAATCTCCCTCTCTCTCTGTTAAACGGCTAGGGATCTATGCCGAGCGGTGAGCCAGTCGATGGGCGGACCGCGCCGATAGCGCCGCGGGGAGGGTCAAGCTAGCTCGCTGAAGCATGCTCTTTCTGGGGAATTGCATTTCGGTCTGTATCCTCAGAGAGACCGCCTGTCTTCTCATCAATTACAAGTGAGTTCTCTCTTATTCCACCTTGAACCTTATCCTGTATCTTCCTCAAATGATAGTAAAGTATAAAGGATAAAGCATTTGCCGTTGACCAATCCTTTTTTGAGATGCGACACGCATTCTACTGTAGAGTGCTCAATTGTTAGTATGCGCTAAAATCATAACAACACGCACAGGTATAAAGGACTTTCGAACGGAGACTTCTTTAAAAGTTTGACACGCCAATAACTTAGAGATGCAGAAAATTTAGGATACAATCGTTACGAAAGGTAAAGCAAAATTTCCGTTCACGGCGCCATGTCCTTTTGTGCAGTAGACATTTTACAGTCGTTCCACTTCTATGTGCGCTGTGATCTGCATCAATTGCGCATGCTGTTCTTCTCCTTCCAAGTGTCAGTCTGAGCGGCAGCAATTCCCGCTTTTTTTTTGTTTTCGTCCCAATACAACTCTTTTTGCGGAGGAAAAGTTGTCATAATGACGGCGCCATAACAAACAAATGGAAGTATACCCGCTGCCAACACGCGTCAAGAATTCGAATGACCAAGAGATTTCTTAAGCTGACCGGATAATTTATCGAACAAAACCTTTTCGTTCTGTAAATCCTCAAATGTTAGAAGCATCGATTACGATGTTTTCTGAAGGGGTTCAGAGGGGACGGCAGGGTGCTCAGTGGTACGCCAATGGCGGAAAGGGCAGAGAAATCCGTCAATAAACACAAAACGGGACCCCTTGTTTGGTCGTTGATTTTTCGCTCACGGACGAACAGCGGCTAAGACGTCGGACGTATGGACGAGCTTACCGCAACCCGTCTGATGTCACCATGTCAAACCATGCCCCAGAGGAGTTGTGCAGCTGCTGACAGGTGAAACTCCAGTTCGGGGGGCCACTCTATTGCTATCCGTAGTACTAGAGAGCAGTTCTTTGGGCTATCGAACACTACGGATAAGATAATAAGTGAACGACTCATTTCGAGCGTACTTTTGATAAGGACCGGTGGATGTCCTACATTCCACACTACCTGCCCACATCCCATCCACTTTTCTGCACAGGTGATCCACCCTGGAGCTCCTGCACCCTTAGCCCTTTGCGGAGGTGTCCTTTCTCCTGGTCCAGGACCGTTCCCTTGGGTCATGGCAGGCGGAAATGTGAAAACGTTTCAGGGTTTCTCACCCATTACACCAATATTTATCAGAAGTCTACTTTAAATGAGTCGATTACGTGTCGTGAGCCCTCTAATCCTTATCTTGAGTATTGGAGAAAAAATGGAGTGGCCCCCACCCCGAACTGGAGCTTTCACCCTGCTGACAATACAGCTCGTCTAAATCATCAACTAAACTAGTGGATGGAACGTTGTGGGCTTGACAATTTTCAAGATCTGCTTAGCAACCAGCGCACCTTCCATCGTGAACGCGTTACATCTCGCGTTACCTCATGGCAGCCAAGCTATGCTTTATGTGGCGCATATACAGGGTGGCGGAAAATTACGTGCGCGTGCCATTCCTCTTCGTTTAACATTGTATGGGGAATGATTAGTGATTTTTCTTTTCACACTTATTGTCTATTGCAAGTTATTGGTTTGCAGAAGAAAGCATTTGTTCACAAGTTCTGACGAAGACCTGCTCAAGTTGAAACGCGATTGTTTGGCAAGCTAACAGCTGACCTGAGAACCGAACAATTTCTTCGAGGCTCCCAAGTTTCCTCGAGCCTTCCAAGAAACAGCAACGCGGTGGAAGAAGGAAGACCGTTTTACAAGTGCTTCAGTAAGAGAATGAGAACGTACTTCCAACACCCGATATGTGAGTAGAAGTATTAGGAAGAGGAATGACCCAAAAGGCGACCTGAGCTTGAATAAGAGTACCGAACAATACGAAACTCTCCGAAAATCTATTCAAATGAGAGCAATTACGAGGCGCGCCTCATCGTAGCAAAGCAAGATCGCAAGTAAAAAAATATAAGAAGTTGTTGGGTTTTTTGAGGTGCGAGACCTTAGAAACCCTCTGATTTTACAAATGAAAGTACACTGCTATGTGTCAAACTCCCAGAATAACCTTCAACCTTTCATATCAGCTCTCAATTACATCCGTAAATGGAAAGTACCCGCAACAACTCCGTTCCCAAGAAAGTCGATGATTTGGATCAGACAGCGCTTCGGGCAAGGCTCTACTCCCGGGGAGGTCGAAAATAACCTTAAGAAAGTTGTTGTATCCTGGGAGCAGAGCAATAACAATTCTATCTCTTCTACAAGAATGGAGTTTAGTTCATGGACCTACACAATGATCCGCTTCTTCGAGACCAGTACCGGTTGTTTTTGGCAGGGGACTCGTGATCTGCTTACAGTCTGAATTGGGATCCAATGACTTCTCTGTTGAAGTTTTGTTAAATGGTTTCTGAAGAATCTGAAAGCAAAGAGTTTGGTGGTTCTAAAAAGAACTGTTTAATATAATTTGTGCGTTAAGCAAATCCGTCGCACCATTGACTCGCTGAAGAAACAAATTGAGGCCTGTATCAAAACTGATGGCAGCTACTCAAACCTTTTTGCAATTATAAATGCCATGGTTCGATGCCTTACAAAATTAAATACTTTCAGATTTTTGTTTAATAAAAATAGAGTTTAGACGTGTTTTATGGTGCACATAATTTTCGTCACGCCGTCGTTCTCCGTTCCTTCTCTATCGTAATCGCTTTTTTGAGGATTAATTTTGAACCAGCGATTCATGCAAGCACAGAACCGTGCAATTTTTGTGCACGAACTCTTAAATGAAAAGCTCACCTTCAATATTGGATCATTTGATAATACGCTTATCTTAACTGCATATGAAAGCCAATAGTACATAAAGTCAATTCTGTGCCGGCGTAAATATATAGAAAGCAGTCAAAACTGCCTGAATCCTCAAAATCGCATCGTATGACGGGAAACAATCCCTACAGGCTCTCTTATCGTTGGTTGACCTTTTCCTCGATACGGTAAACAAGGGATTCGGGTTGGCTATCAATAGGGGTCGCAAATAGTCGGGCTGGTACTGCTCACGTCAGGTGACTAGAGATTTTCAAAAGTTCTTGGAGTTCTGGTATGTTTGCCCTCCCATCAACTCAAAATACGACGTTTCCTTTAGATGCAATCGTCCACACTTGCTGCAATGAAATCCTTTGATAAATATTTGCAAAGTCTACATTATTTCAGGTCGATTTTCGGTCATATAGCGAAACAGCTCACAAAAACTGTTCGTTCGCTGAAGAATCAAAAATCTCATAGAAGGTGAGGATTGAAATGAAACAAACCATTTTCAAACTGTCTCTGGCTTTGTCGAGAGCGGCATTTTCTTATGCAGGGGAAGGTCAGTGACTCCGTTTAGTGGCTGGGATGTTGTCGCCAAAGATCCTGGCTGCAACACAAGTTATTCACTAGCAGAAAATCATAGGTGGTAACCGCAGGCGTTGTGGCAGCTATTGCTCGACTATGCTTGAACAAGCTAATAAAAATAATAGTTGTACAAGATCTACGAATACTTGACAGTTTATTTCTGTTAGCGACAAACAACTGAAAAATTTAGTTGGCAAGCAGTAATATCGGATATCAAGCGGTACGCTGACGACGAACATGAAAAACGTGAAGCGGAGGAAAATTTGAAGAAACGCCTGAATTTTTACAAGAGAGCGGCTGCAGATTTCGAGAGAGGAACGAATAAGAGAAGGAAAAATGGCAAGAGGAATTTGTCGGTGAATATTCCCAAGCATATAGATATTGTTTGAGCTCTCACACCTATCAATGAGCTAATTTTCAGAAGCTTAAAGATCTCGAACAAGTGCTGAAACATGAACACTTCGATCAAATGGAACTGTTGAAAAGAGAACATAGAAAGCGGAGCAAATCCCCAACAGCAGTTGATCAAGCTGTAGCTGTACCAATCAAATTGGTTAGAGAAGGTGAGCTTACTGTCGATGAGAGCCATGGCCTTACATCCTAATATAGGGAGACGGACTATTTGCAAACTTCAAGAACCTATTCTCAGTGCTTCCAGAATATCACCGCATCCAGTTAGTGTTTAGGAGCCAAGCTTGCCATGATGCTGGCTGGCCACAACGCCTCCGATTTTGAAGAGAAGTCTCTGAGAATGATTAGCCCTAGAATTATGAGTCTTGTACCAGAGGGTGGAAACACAAGCAGTAATGAGGTGGGCATGCTGATTTCCTCCGATTTCTGAACCAACTTTTCACTTGTTCGATTGTCGCCTGGAATCCTACTATATATAATTCGCTAAGCATTTCTGTGTGTTTGTGTGTTTGTGTGTTTGTGTGTGATAGCGACTGATAAGATCCGATAAGAGGCGCTGAACGCAAATTTCACGAATTCATAGCGCGCGTCCCAGCAGCAGTGGGGCGTTGGTTCCAAGAAGTATGTATGTACAGGGTGGGACGGGAACATATTTGGTGGGGTCAGAAAGTGATAACGACTGATAAGAGCTGATAAGAGGCGCTAGAACGCAAATTTCACGAAATTCATAGCGCGCGTCCCAGCAGCAGTGGGCGTTGGTTCCAACAAGTGATGTAGAGGGTGGGACGGGAACATATTTGGTGGTGGACCGAGAATGATAATAGTTGATAAGCGCTGATAATAACGATGTAAGTAAGAACATTAGGTCGCTCAAACCTAATAGCAGATAAGAATCACTACCCATTTCATTTTTATTTCATTTGCGTTCCATCGTCAGCACCATACTCCCTTCGACCGCTACTTTGCCTAAATTTCCTGCGAATGTGTGTAGAGGCTGTCTGAAATGTTAATGTGGGCATTTCTGTTTCAACATCATTAGCATCAAATATTATTCGACCGCTAAATCACGCTGACATTCAAGGCATGGTGGTTGTTTACATACACCACTTTACCTCTGCACTCTATCGCGCGTATCAAGCGGTGAGCTTCAGCAGAAATGGGAGGCTATGGAAAGGTCGGCTAAGGCATTTCATGATGCAAATCAGCGTTGCATTCTTTAGCGGTGGCACCTAACGTCCCACATGCTGTTTAGTTCCACGAAAGCCCACTGCTTTATGCGCGCGGTAGCTGCAGAGCTAAGCTGGTATCTTGATAATTCAATAATTCCTTCAATTCACATCCGACCGTTCTGTGTGACTGCTCAGCTTCGCTAAATTCAATGTACATATATGCAAGTCACACCTTAGTCCATAGCGTCAATGTGATCGATGTTCTCGATATTCTCACTCACCGGATTATTCTGAAAACCCATTTGATGAGAGAAGCTTAGGCTCACGCCAAGAACCACGCATTTTCACATTCGTTTGGCGTGAGCTTCAGCAACGCGAATTTTGACTTCCGTCGGTGAGCTTAGGCTCACGCCAAGAACCACGCGTTTTCACATTCGTTTGGCGTGAGCTTCAGCAACGCGAATTTTGACTTCCGTCGGTGATCACGTATGGTTTCCGTTTTACAGATGGATTATCCCTTGGGGCATGTTTTCAGCAGCTTTGTCAATCCAAGGTGATTTGGTGAATTGTGGCGCCGGTACTCCGGAGTGGGAGATTTTCTTCGGACGGATGTGATGTTGTTATTCTCCGCCTATTAACATGGAGAAGCATTCTGCCAAATTTATCAAAGAATAAAATTACGAGAAAACCACCAATTTTAGAAAAGTGGGGCGGTAAAGAGAAATGACACAGAAATTGAATAATTTTATATTGTTTTACTTTAGGTAAATCTGTTTTCTCCATCGCTTTTCTCCCTACACAGCCAAGGAGATGGCATTGAGAAATTGACATCGCTACCGAATCTATTAAAATCCACTGGACTCCTGGAGAATCAAGATCAACAAGACTGGATGGACTTTGTCATAGAGACGTCAGGTGCTGGCGATGTGCTTGAAAAGGCCAAGGTATGAGCTGGAAGCAGAAGGAGATGCCTTTTACTTGTGGTCTCTTTCGGGTGCAATTTGGTTCACCTTACATTCTGAATGTGACTGTTATTTCACACATCCAATAGCAAGTGATTAGAGGAAAACATTGAGAAATATTACATCTCGAAGTAACTGATAGGTTTGCCAGTAAAAAGGGTAGTATTCGGTGATTGTGACTACATGTTGAACGCACTTATAACCAGCTGAGAAGCGTGAAGTAATGGACAGCATTGGTGACTTGAGCGCGTTTTGAATTACTGGCCAAGAGGGTAATATCAGCATTCTATGTACAACCATGCGTGAAATTCTTTCCTCGGCGCTAATAATCTCCTGGGCTTCTGCCGATCCAGCATGTGACCACTTCTTCTGCTTTTCCCTCATCGCTTTTTTTACTTGGTAATGACACCTCTTTCTGGTATACTGACGTCAGTTTTCCCGATCCAGCCTTTTAAGCAGAGGAAAAACCAACGATCTCCGGACCCCTCTCGAGCAAAGGACCGTGACCGCCTCATTCAAGACTAACATTGCATAATTTCAGCACTCTCGCGCGGCATTTGCGAATGTGACCTAAACGCGTACGCCGGCCAATCCTACAGAATCTTTCTCGTTTTTCCCCACTTTCTCAATTCCACTCTGACCTCTAGGTTTTGACCCTCTCTTCTTTCTGACATTTTCGCCCTATTTATTGCGCCTATAGGATTTTGACCTTTTTGAAAATGCGTTTATTTCCCAGTAGATCAAAAGACCAGGATACGGGTATGAAAAAGAAGCGCAGACCAAAATAGACATCTGCACCACCGTAGTTATATGTATTATATTTGTTTGGACAGAATAATCCACATCTATCCAATACAGGATTTCGTCTTCAGCAAAATAAAGATATGTTACCTGATAAGGAGCTTCTTTGAAGTGTAGCCCACTCGCTTGCCATGCGAGAGAGTCACTTTTTTTGTGCTGAATCCCTACAACAATTCTCCCATTAAATATGGGGCAACAGAGTAAATGAAGAATGAGTCTTCTTTCTAGCAACCCTTCCAAACATTTCTGCTTGCCTCATAAAACCATGGTATTTTACAAGAATGCTGGGTTGTGAACAAAACTCTCTCCCCAGGTGGGACTAGACTAGACTAGACTGGTAGCGCACTTGCCCGGAAAGCGAGAGGTGCGGGTTCTAGTGCGAACTGCGGCGGTAAAACAGCAGTTAACAAACAAAACAAGTCAAAAATTCATGGTATTTTAGGCGAAGAAGGAGGAGGAAGCAGCAAAGACCGATGTAAGACGAATTCGTGGTCCCGACGGCCAGCCAATTTATTTGACGAAGGAGAATGTAACAAAAATATTCGGCGGCGAGCAAGCGTCTCGGATTGAAGTCTTTGAGCAGCTTCAGAAGTCTTTCACACCTGAGCAGGTAAAGATTCTCGCTTGCCAGGAGCAGTTCTTTCTTCGGCGTTTGGGACGGAGTTACAGCAGAATCTGTCACAGTAGCCGTAACAAGTACACTGATCCTGTTTTCAGCAGAAGGAGATGAATCGCACTGGCTATACTATTCTGACGGCAGATCAGCGCGACTTTTTCTATGGCCCGTCATCTCCGTACAACAACTCGGCGAAGCTCGACATTATCCGCAATATAAGTGATAGCGATGTGCATCGTACGGTACGCGACACGGTGCGTGGCGTTGCCGATGGTCGTTTGGAATTTGAAGCGAAAGACGGATCTGTGAAGTTAGTCACGAAGCAGCAGCCTCGTCACAAACGTGCCATTGTTCTATCACCTACCAGCGCTATTTTGATTAATGACCCGGTCACTGTCAGTCAACCTGTAATACTCTCACCTGTCTACCTGTCTGCTCTCATCTGCTCACCTGCCATTTTCGGCGTGGTTGTGCTCTCACCGTGGCTTTTCATACCTGTTGTACTTTCTCCACGTATATTTTCACCCGTGGTACTCTCCCCCTTTGCATTTGTCCCGATCATTCTAACACCGTTGGCCTTTGTGCCCGTCATCCTTTCTCCAGGAGTCATGAATCCCCTGATACTTTCACCGCTCCTCTTCTCTCCTTTTATTCTCTCACCACAGGTGATGACACCCTTGATCCTTTCTCCTTTTGCGCTTTCGCCGTTCATCGGCACACCCAACGTGCTCTCACCACTCATTCTTTCACCTTTCGTTCTTTCTCCTATCATCTTCTCACCAGCTTACGTTTCAGCTCTCGTGCTCTCACCGTATGCCTTGTCTCCCATATTAAATTCAACTGGGGCGATTTTCACATCAGTCGCGTCTCCGAGTTGGTTGAGCTAACTAATAATTTTACGAGTCCAACTGCAATAAAGTTTCTAGTCTTCACACTTTATTCGTTCACAGATTTGATTTCTCAGAACTGTGCGACATTGGGTTTGTGTGTTGAATCACTTAAAAAAATATTGAACGAGGTGCGTTCCACAGCTAAAATCTCAAATGGCATGATAAAACCAAACATTTCTCTTCCGTTGAAATTTGGCTTTTGGAAGAAAACACACAGATCCCGATGTACTCTCACTTAGACATCCTGAGCACTCAGACATCACTTAGGAGCTCAATAAATATGCGCAGTCGCTCAATTCGACATGTGTGCATAGGTTTAGTGAGCGACATTTTGCTCCGTTTTAAAGTTGTGTGAGGAACTCATGCGTACCTTTTGTTTTCAGAGCGTGTTAATGCTGATTATTATAAGGTTGCCCTGCAATAGTGAATCACTACATCAATTGCTATAAAGTTCCAAAAAAAATTTCGAAGGCGTAATTCATGTTTTGCCAGGTAGTACTCCACATTGTCTTACCTAAACTTAGTCAGCCCATTCACATGTTGCCTTCCGAGGCTGAAACTTCAATTTTTCTGGAACCCTTTTTAAAACACGATATGAAATCGCCATGTTCCTTCTGTTTCCCAGAGTTCCTTTCAGTGATCATCCTGCGTATTCACCAGTGTTGTGAAGTGGGTGGAGTGTGCTAGCAAATCCACAAGGAGCAGTAGCCTAGCTCAAAAGATTCGGGAGTTCTGACAGCAAAAGCCCAACCTCTTATGTCCGAACTTCTGAGATGTTGGTGGGAAGCACGAAAGGAGCCATGCGCTGGGAACCGCCGCCCAGTAATACTAGAGTCAGTGAAGAAGGCAAACGTCGACAGCATAATGGCGACGCGTTCAATTGAAAGTAAAGCAAGACAAAGTCTGCTTTTTTCCTGAGGTCGTTCGACCCCACCTTGCGGAGAATATTCATAAAAAATTGGAGACTTCAGGCTAGCAGTTCTTCCAGCTTCCTCTGTGTAGCCCTATCCTCGTACCAACAAAGACAACTCAGTCTGAGTCTAGCGCTCTTCTTCAGGAAGAAATTTTACGCTAAGTGACATGACCTCAAACTCGACTTCCGATCTTTCTTCGATCAATAGCTCCTGGAATTCTAGAGAAAAGACAGCGACTAAATTTCCATGTATAGGCAATAGTTTGTAGATGACAGAGGTGTATGTTTGGATGAGCAAGCACTTCATATAAAAAGAAAAAAATTGAAAAATACCCAAAGTGATTCACTAATTATGGGACAACCCAATACAATAGTTTGTGGAAGAAAACATTCGTTTCCCAAATTCTGGTGGAACCTGTTCGAGTTGCAAAAATGAGAAGCAAGCAGAGACTTGGACTGAGCTCAACGATTCCTTCGATGCTCACAGTTTCTCAAGGAGTCGTCCAGCAAACTGAAAAGCTTCAGGAAGAACAAGGTCATGTTTAAGCAAACTTTCACCGAGAATGAGAACAACACTCGATAGGAGAGAGAAATTATTGAAAAGAGGAATAATCAAAAAGATTACCTGACCCGAAGCAAGAAGGCCGAGCAGAAGGAAACCTTTCGAAAACCCGTTCGAAGGGTCAAAATAAAGCGTTGAGTTGGACGTATTGGAAACAGCAAATGGTCAGCTTCCTACCGTTCTTGCAAAGCCAAATTAAAAAGATAAATATATGAAATAACGGAACTTTTTCGATGTGCGGCGATGCTGTGCTTCTACTAATGAAAAATTAACCATTTGAGTGGTTTGAAACTCTCGAATCGCCTTCAAACATTCATAACAGCTATCGAAAACAGTCGTAATTGGAGATACCCACCAAGATCCCGGTCACTTGAAATTTGATGAGTTGGGGCTGTATCAGTGCTTCAGGCAAACTTCCACTGACTTTTATCGACAAATGCATGATGAGCGAACAAGATCACGAAGTGTTCTTCGGAAATCAGTGGTATTCTAGATGAAGAATAATAATAGCATTATCTTTTTATGGTTATTGAAATGGGTTACATACCACGATCCAAAGCACTGACCTAGACTACAGATTTGTGTTGGTCCAAAATCAAATTCTCTGGACTTTACTACTGCGTCTTTGTCGGATATATAGTGACTAAGAAATCGGAATGCAAGAAGTTTGGTGAATCTTAGAGGATCACCTGTATCACCTGTCGTCCCGTTGATCATCGATTTGCTCGAGCGGGCGCCAGCAACGTCTCCATTCGTCCCTGTCGCGTGCAAGAGTTGTCCAGTGGACCCTCCTCGCTCGAGGGACACGAAGTCCTTCATTCCTTTCGTTCAGAGCTTTCGTGAAGAAGTCTGACCATCGGGCCGGCGGTCGTCCAGGTGTTCGTTTGACGTCCCGAGGGATCCAGTCGGTAACCGCTCTGGTCCAACGGTCATCGCAAAATCGCATGACGTGTCCGGCCCACCTTATCTTCGATTCCTTGGCGAAAACGGCAGCGTCCCTGATCTTCGATCGTTGGCGTAGTTCGGAACTCCGGATTCCCTCTGCACTTGCGTGTATAGGGTTACTCCTAGCATCGTCCTCTCGACAGCGCGTTGGATAACGCTGACCGCATGCTCGTCCTGCCTGCGCAGAGTCCAAGTCTCTGAGGCGTAGGTTAGGGCAGGAAGGACAGCGGAATCGAAGAGGTGGGCACGGAGCCGGATGTTCTTCGTCTTCTTCACTACTCCCTCGATGTTCTTCGCTTCCTCCTGCTCAGCTCTGGAGCTAGATCGTTCATCATATTGATTTCCCGACCTAGGTACACGTAGCTGGAGCATTCGGTGATGTTCGTTCCGTTGAGCGTGCATCAGGAACCAATCCGTTTCTCATAAACATCGTCTTCGTTAGGTTCAGCTGCAGACCAACCTTACCACAGGCGCAGTCGAAATCAGCCAGCATTCGCTCTGCTTTATGTTCGGAGTTATGTTATGTCGGTAGTCGCACAGAAGATGCAGTTTTATTCGGAGTTCATAAACTAAACCATACTGAAGTCAGAGGCTTATATAGGGGAGATGTTTTCGAGAGAACTCGAAAACAAGTGATACAAAAGAGATCATTTATTGTTCATCCATAACAAGTTATTAGAACGATATCGTCAGCAAAGGCGCTGAAGAGTTTGGGCGAGATGGTGTCGCCCTGTCGAACCCCTCTCTTGACGTCGATGATGACCTCCTTGTAGAATGGTGAGATTCTGGTCGTAAAGTTGCTGTAGAGCTCACGAAGAATCCTTATGTACTGAGAGTAGGGACGCCCTGGTTGCCCAAGGCTTCGATGACCGCTTCTGTCTCCACAGAGTCGAAGGCCTTCTTCAAGTCGATGAACGTGAGACA